TCGAAACGTTGTACATTTGCTGCTATGTTAAACTTATATTAAAGTTTTCTTCATTACCCATTCAAGCCGTCTCCAACCATTACATTAAAGAACATCATCAACTAAAGGTTATATTAGGACTAATTATATGGAAGTTATCCAGTTTCCATATGAGTTAGAAGTTATTTTTATTAAACAAAATGGGGCATAAAGAAAGGAAATAAAATGTTCTAAACAATTGCTGGTAACTAACTTGCACAATTTTACATTGAATAGTAAACACTGTACACTGATCTTTATCATTTTAGCGTCGATTTAGCGTTTATTGTTAAGTGTGATGAGTGGTTAGTGCACTAGCCTTTCCATCGAGAAGCCTTAGGACCAAATCCCTACCATTAACATCACAAGCAGAGCACTTCCCTGAAGATGACAGTAGATTAGCAGTCAACATATAGGATATAAATTTGTTAGTTTCTAATTAAGAGCGAAGCTACACAGTGGGCTATCTGTTCTGTGTCCATTTTAGCATTATAAACCCACAGACTTACTGGGGAGCTAAAGCTGTTAATAGTTAAATAAAAAAGGTAACTAATTAATAACTAGACTTAGATGATCATATAGTCCTCTCTTATGGTAACGATTGACTACTTAATATCACATCATTTTATCATCGTTCAAGCACTTTTCGAGTTTAATATTTAACATCACTGTCGTTTTCTTTTCATTAAAACTCGTGATCAATTTAATGTCCAAGGAAGTTATGGCTTGCGAGAAGAAAAAGTTAGGGACTAAGAAAAACGGAATTATTTTCACGAGCAAGAATATTTAGGTTGCATTATTATGCAAAAATTGGCACTATAAAGATATGAACATAACACAACTTATTAAGATCAAATCTGGATGAAACTATAAAAACTTCACAAAATGAAAATATTCAAAAGCATTCAACAAGTGTCAATATTTTCTCGTCAGTAACCCTGAAACTTGAGCCTGACCATCAAACTTTATTTATTTAAAGAAATAAAAGTATAATATTCGCATACGGAGTTTGATTAAATTATTTGAAATAATGTTAAAATCAGAGGGAATAAGTAGACAAAATCTAGGTAATGGCACGTAAAATTAACTTTCTGAGAAAACGCATAAAGACTCAGATTTTATTGAACTAAATACAGAGAAACAAGCAAATGAATGAACTTATTATCTTGGCTTTAAGAAATTCAGAACAAGTTAAGAAAATAATATTCAATACGTCATAAAATTTTATTACTGTACTAGGTTTAGAATCTAGAACCATTTTTCATTTTAAGAAATATGCACTGGGGAAAAGCAAAATATTTAAAATTAACTCTTATTTTCTCAGCTACTTTCATTGCCATTATCTCTACATTTTATTGTCCAAACCAGAAACGACCAGAACGTAATGCTGCTTTATCTGTACGAAACTGAAATCGAAAATATGATGATACAATTACATAAAAGAATATGTAGATAATGTGAGCCAACTAGTTTAACTGAAAGCTGAAATTCAGAAAAAGTTTCACCAAATGTATACCCACTCTGGTTGCGACGGTCTCAATTACAACATCGAGATTCGGTAGACCAAGAACTGGCTTCAGGTAGGCTTGGAATCCTGTCCATCTCTTTCCTTGGTGAATGTTGCCTGCAAAAACACACACATTGTTTAATTAACATGTAAGAAAGGATTGGTGATATTCACACCCAACAAATAAAACAGGAATATTAAACACTACACACGAAGAAAAAGTTCGTCCTGCATCCTTCTCTTCATCTTCTTTCATAACTCATAATCATTATCGTTGAAATCAAATATTATTTTCCATTTACTAATTGGTTACTTCCCTTGTTTTTTTATCAATGTCTTATTTACAGTCTTTTTTATGTCTCTAGTTTCCTATATATGTATTATTTGCAGTTCTTCTACGTCTGTCGATTACCATTAAGTGTTTTGTTTATAGTGTTCTTATCTCTTATTTATAGTCTTCCTACCATTTGATTGTTATCAGTGTCTTATTTACAGTCATCCTACCTCTCCTTCTTTTCCTAACAGTGTCTTGTTAAGAGTTATCCCACCTCTCGTTGTTTCCTTTCAGTGTCTTGTTTACAGTTTTCCTACCTCCCTTGTTTTCTATCAGTGTTTTTTACAGTCTTTAAACTTCTCGTTTCGTATCAATATCTTGCTTTTAACTCTCTTGTTTTGTATCAGTTTTTTTAGAGTCTTCTTACCTCCATAGTTTTTATTAATCTTGTTTACAGTCTTCTTACACCTCGTTTCTTATCAGTTTTGTTTACAGTTTACCTACCTCTCTTGTTTCCTATTAGTGCCTTTTTACAGTATTCCTACTTCTCTCCTTTTCTATTAGTATATTGTTTATAGTATTCTTACCCCTCGTTTCTTATCAGTTTTGTTTACAGTTTACCTACCTCTCTTGTTTCCTATTAGTGCCTTGTTTACAGTATTCCTACTTCTCTCCTTTTCTATTAGTGGATTGTTTATAGTCTTCTTACCCCTCGTTTCTTATCAGTTTTGTTTACAGTTTACCTACCCCTTGTTTCCTATTAGTGCCTTGTTTACAGTTTTCTTACTTCTCTCCTTTTCTATCAGTGTTTTGTTTGCAGTCTTCGTACCTTTGTTGTTCCTTATCAGTACTTGTTTAAATGTCCTTTCGCCTATCTCTGTTGTTGCCCACATCTATTTGTTTTTCGCCGTCTGTTGTAAATGGCAAGATAGATAGCCAGAAAATAAACAAAATAAGCTGTGAGAAGTTTCCTTGCTAGACCAACAACATTTGTCTTCCGTTTGGTTATTATCTCTTTAGTAACTACCAGTACTGTCTTGCTTAGCCTCTGGATGCTTCATTTGTTGTGCACGGCACTGTTTTGTTTGATGTTGTGGCACCCGTTTTAGTACCCACATAACTGCTGTGTTTGCTACTTGGAATTTTTATAACCTTCAAAACAATTTTGTTTTCCATCTTGTTTCTCCTTTGTTACCCACATCATTATTTGTTTACCGCCTGGGTATCTTTTTTTACTACAAAAAGACCGTCATATTTTACCGTTTGGATATTTTTGTTCTTATCCTCAACTGTACTTGCTCTTTAGTTGTCTTATAATGACGACAGTCTTTCTTCTTTTTTTCTTAAAGCTCAAATGAGCCTTTATTTTCACAGATTTATGTAGTTTGTGTAATTACATTTTCTTCTGTGAATTTACCTTGAATAAATCATTTTAAAAATATCTTAAAATAAAATTATATGTAACTTAAACATAAACTAAGTATTTTATTATATGACACCACCAATAAGTTTGCTATTTTACAAATAATTAACGTATAATAAAACAGCTGTAAGGTGTATTATATTTTAGTTAACCAACTTCTCTTGTTTCATTAAATTTCTCGAAGATCCTCTAGTTATTATATTTTGCTTCTTTAAAACTGATGTTAGTAAAACAGTATTTAATGTCATATCAGAGTTAACAATTTCAAAAATGAGAATGTTCCTAGAAATTTGTCTTCATTTTAAGCTTGGTCTCTTTCTTTGTCAAACAAAATTACAGACAGTTTTACTTTAAAAGATGATTGCTACTCACTTTGATTTGTTTCTCTACTCAACAAGCCCAAAACAAGGCAATAAACCATCGTTAAGATACCAAACCAGAAAGTGACCAACCCACCAAATTGTTCATCTTTGTTCTTCTTGTTTCAGTCGAGATAACTCTACAACTACTTATTCACTAATGTCAGTTTACACCTATATCCACGTTATGTGTTTCTTGGCAGTGCAAGATGTCATCGCTTAGTCGTATTTAAAATATAATCATAATTCTAGTGTAAACCATGTTATCATTACCCCTTGAAGCTAGCTTTCTTAAATATATCTGATGTTTCCTTTAAAAAGAATAAGTACAGGGCGAAACATGAATTATCAGCCAATAATAGATGACTGTTACATGTACAATACTCAATGCGTTGTACACGATACAATCGGTGTTATTAGGGAGCCAACCTCTATATTATGTATCAAGTGAAGAAGTAAAAAAAAATGAAAACACATAATATTAAATTTTATAATTCACATTCATAGAATACACTAACTTTCAGTCAGGGGAAAAAACGTCACAAAATAAGAAATAAAAACATTTTGTAAATGTAAAATGATGTAGGGATGGCAGTGCCAAAAGAATTCAAACAAGAATATAGGGATGATACAGCTATACATAGATCATCCCTACATTACTTTCAATATTAAAATAACATTTTAAAGTCAACTATGTATGAGATTCAGCCGAGATATCTGCCAATGCTGCAAGTGAGTAATATTTTCATGTTGTTGTTTGATTTCAGCCTGGTTCTTAACTTTAAAAAATTGTATGTTAATAAATCATAAAAATAAGGAGTCGAATCAAAGCTCCTCCAAGCATAAAACTAATGTTTTAATATTTATGCATTTTTCCACCGTCCCGAGTTATTGGTTAAACTCCATGCGTTAAATCAAGGTTGTTTGCTTAATTTTAGTCTTTGTTTGGAAGCGTGGAAGATTGAAACCAAGAAAAAGGTACCTGAAACAGAGGACAATAAGCAAGATTTTCCATTATTTTCCGCATTCGCAAGTTGCATAATTGGTCATAATTTTTCATTAGTTTCCCGCCGTTCCTGTATGCTATGTTTTTGGAATTATTTCTTTCCTTGTCTCGCAATTTTGAACTTTTTTCTCACTAAGATTATTTTTCAGTTGAGTTGCTCTCTCTTCTATGGTTAGTTTTATTTGATTTTTCTTAATTGTATCCCTTTTTTTACCTCTATATTATCACATGTTTTCAACCACACTCGCATACCCCTGTGAACCGTCTTTCCTTGTCATTCTTATTTGTTTTCGAAAAGAAAAGAAAAGGCAAGATACGCATTATCACCATGCTTATATTTTTCAGAAATATGCACTCGTTTCTCCTATTTCTCAAGTATATATATATATATATATATATATTATATAATATTTTACTGCTTTTGATAAATATAAGTTTCATCATACTTTGGCAAGGCATAGCACCCAGCTCGAGTTCTCCGTTTAGATCTCCGATATCCAGTCCAGCATCACGTGCAGATTCAAGGAAACCTTTAGCCACGGGAGACTGTGAAGCATCAAATTCGCTCACATGTAAGGGACCTTTATATCCACGATGACCTGTAGTTGGATTAAATATATATGTAAATATTATTGAAGTGTAATTGGACAATAAAAATAATACAATATTCTTTTTCTTTCTCAACATTATATAATTATAGTTGATATGAAAAGGAAACTTTCACTACCTTTTTCTTCGGATTTTCTATTTGTTAAGTCAAATAAAGATTAAAAAGATGACAATAAAAAGCCTCTCATACAAATATATATATGGCTCCGAGTATTTACATAACACTAAATAGTAATATAAAAAAAATATAAGCATTCTAATTTGCTTCCTGAATGCGAATTTTTAATCTACGGAAAAAATAGTCAAACAAATAATGATTTTTTTACGACTTTAAAAATATATGAAATACGTGCATTCTTAGACATCTTCCCCTTTGCATCTAAACAATTGCCTAACTCTAAGTAACCTAAATATACTTTACTAATTTTGGTTATATGATAGATAGTAATTTGCAGTTTCAAAAAATAGAACAATGCATATAAGGTTCGTTTGTTTCAAAACTAACCATTCAGTCAGAACTATATTTACTATCTAGACGCAGTTGCCAGTTCGTAATGCTTACAAGAACATTAGTGTTCTCTACGAATTTTTCACTAATTATTTAATATATCTATTTTCAGAAGAAGCGCTATTAAACTCGATCTGATGTACTTAATATTATGATTCACTGCTTTAAACATATCTATATTTCTCTCAAGTGTCTACATTTGCAATGCAGACCAACTACCAAATTATTCAAAACAAAACAAATCTGTAAAGGGAAAGTTCACAGTTACCAGCCTATCCATTGACAACTCACCTGTTTGTTTTTTCCGTGAGGTAAACGCTTCACTTTTCTGAAAAAATGGAAGCACGTTTTGAAAACTCCAATCTGTACATCCTTTCTTCTTTTCCCAGTCATTAAAGTCTTGTTTAGCTCCCCACGTGTGGATAAGGTAATAGATAGAACTACTTCCGCCCAAAACTTTTCCCCTCGGCCATGCAGCCTGCTAATTGAAGATATAAAATGTTAACATTTATTGCAGTTACTTTGTCTTTAAACACTCATGATGTCTGAGTAATAAAAGTATGTATTTATTTAATGGGTTTGGTCGCTATGATACGACATAAACAAGTCTCAGAACTAGAAAGGATCATAACCTTACTTTTTCTAATGTTAACATCGCGTGCCAAACAGTTATTTTCCTGTCACCAAGCCATACAGTTTTCTTTGTTTGTTTGTTTTTACTTGAATTATTGATCAGTAGTTCACTGTCTTTGTCATTTTTGCCAGAAATAAAAAATGTCAATATTTCAATAAAATATCATCATCCTCCATCAAGAAGTATTTCAAAAAAGTTGGACATAAGAAAAACACAGTTTACGACAACCATATACACCAACATGTTCGTTTGTTTGCTTGTTGATTTTCGCGCAAAGTTACTCGAGGTTATCTGCTCTATCCATCGTTAACTCAGAAGTGGTATACTAGAGGGAAGGCTGCTAGTCAGTACTACCTGTAGCCAACTCTTGGACTACTCTTCACCAACGAAAAAGTGGATTGACCCTCACATTATAACGCCCCCACAGCTGAGAGGGCGAGCACTTTCGGTGACAGAATTCCTAACGACAAGAAGTATTACGAAGACACATTTTTTTAAATTCTGTGATCTCAATCAATATAATTTTTCAATTCAATAAAATGTTAATAAGATAGAATATGATATCTTGCATTTCAGAAGAATCTTAAAAGTGTCTTGGTATAAAAAACTTGGACCTAATCTGCGAATTTATCGTAATATTTATGATTTCGTCCCAAGCCTTTTGTTCACTTTAATAGTAGCCACATAACACTTATTTTATTGTACTGTGAAGGAACACTATATTTAAAACAGTAGTAATGTTACAGACAGAGTAAATACCACTGTCATAACGAAATGCTAAAGAATCATATACTTACATGGATGCTTCCAACGATAGAGTAGAGTTTGGTAATCATATACAAGTTTGATATCATACAATAAATCGTTTAAACGAGAACTGAGATTATGACCATTCTGCAATCGTATCTAACACTACATAAGACTTATCACTCTTTAGTTTCTATCAAAAATCAATGATTTACCACGTACTTACTGATACATCCATGAACGTAGTTATGTATAGCTATACCGTAACTATAAAAATACATGCTTCTCAAGGTTGTAGTTACGCAATAAATGTTAACATCCATGTGCTTGTAGATCCTTTTATGATACAAACTTGAATTAACCATTTCCGAGCTTTTTGATAACAAATCTCTCCAAATCTATGTCATTAACGTCAGAAAGCAGCATATAAAAGTATTTCAAAAATATAGTATATATATTTAATATAACACGGACTCTCTCTGAATGCTTTCAAGTATTATTACTTACATTAATACATTATTTTTGTTGGCTATACCTCTTGAGATTTACGCAGAAACGTATGGGCTACTTAAGCCATTAAAAAACAGCACAAATAGGCTAATCAAATCATTAAAAAAACAGCCACGAAGCAATAAATTAAATAAAGAAAAGTCTCCCAGTCACTCAGGACACTTTGTATGCAAATAGTGAAATGGCAAACAAAAAACCTAGCTGTAATAAGTAGAGAATCCACGCTGGTAAATGTTAATAAGAATTGTATGAATAATCATAATATTGATCGTTTTGTTTGGCTATAAACTAATAAAATTAAATATAAATATGTTTGGCTAACTTCAATCATGCAATTGAATTCCTATACATCTAATGTCTATGTCTTTCAATATAAGACCGAATGGTAAACTAAAGTGAAGGCAGCTAGTTAACAGTATCCACGCTAACTCTGAGCTACTCTTGTCTAACTGAATAGTATGTTTGACTGTCACTCTTGTAACACACCCAAGACTCTAAAGGGCGGAGCGCGTATTTATAGCAACGGTCTGCGAATCGCTTTATCTCAGGTTCACAGACATAGCTCACCACGCCAACCACTAGGCCACATTTATGGATGACTGTATTTCAACACTCCAGGTCTCTGGCCTGGCCGTTTAGCCTAAATACAGACGGCTGTTCAAGTTGAAAATTCCAATTTAATCAACAAACTCATGTAGAACTAAAACAAAAATTCTCTCGAGTTGTTTTATTTTATATCGCAGTTGATTCTGAAATAAGAGAAAATCGTAGTTTATCGCACAGGTAAATCAGAGTCATACGGATTTTGTTACCATTTTCTATTTATACTTACATTCTAATTACAGTAACTCTTCCGAAAAACTTCTAAATAATACCTGGTCATTCAATCCCCACATAGCTCTTGCTTGTGTTACAGTTTTGTAACCCCAGTCCGCTGAAGTCATCTGCAAGGAAGGGGAGAGAAGAGGGATCGAGGATATCCATGATGGCTCACCACCAGCTTCAATTATAAGAACACTGTTGTTGGTTCCTTCCACCAGACGGCGCGCCACAACGCTACCAGCAGTACCTGCACCAACTGAAGAGTAAACAACAATAGAAAATATTTTTTAAACTAGGGTGGGTCCATAACAAATCAAAACGGCAGCTTCCAGAACATACGAAACTGGCAGTATGGCAATAAACAAAGCTTTCTCCTAATTTCATGTGGTCTCCACATTTTTTTTTAGATATTTTTTTAAAGAATCATACAAATATATGTATGTATATATATATACAATAAAAGTGATCGTCAAATGTCTGAACGAATAGCAGAATTGACAAATTCTATTTATTTTATTTGTTCTCAATGTGTCATGCACGAGATTGAACTTTAAGTCAAAGTCACCATGAAGACAACATTCTCCACATAAAGAGAGTCCGCTGCTTAACAGACTGAAGCTAAATAACTTTATATATTCAGACAATTTATTTACCTCATGAAACTAAAGTAGTTTGACCAATGAGCTTACAAATGTATTTACATCACTATTGTGACGGATTTATTATTATATATTTATTTTACTATCGACGTTTGTTTATATTAAATTTATATTTAGAAACATACATAGCTTTCTCTCTCTCTCTCTCTCTCCTGATCGGGATTTAGGTCTTTTATGAGGGTCAGGTTCTAGTAAACCTCATCCTTACATAGCTTATAGTGTTAAATATGTATTGTAAAACTCCCGCATATTCTCCAAAGTTGTAGAAGATTCTCGAGAGTAAGAATCAACAATATATGTATGTAAACGCTTGTGTTAGCGTCAGTATTGTTATGTAAAACTGAAATTTCGAGAAAGTCTCCACACGCTTATAAATATAACCAACGCGACGCGCCAAAAAAAAAAGAGTATCTATTATTAGTTTGCTATAGTTGGTATGCCATAAGTTTTGGAAGCTATAACTGATTGTTATAAAGCGTATCAATCGGAAAACTTGAGATATTTGACCAGGACCATTTAAAAAGTTCGAACATTACAAATCATTTAACTTCAGTGGATTCTCACCAGACATTAGTATTTTTTACGAAAACATTTTATAAATTCATCGTGGAAAACTCGGCGTGCGTGGCTGGTGAATAACGAAGGACAAAGCTAGCTTACTCCCCGTTAAGCGAATTGTACGTACATCAACTCGTAATTAACTCGCTCACTGTGAACCCTCGAAAACAATATCGAAGCTACAGACTAGAAAGTAGACTTTATATTGTTTGTAAGTTTGTAATTTTTTTTAATATAAATCATTGTGTATAACAACTATTTGTAATAACTGTTATTGTAAACTGTATTGCTGTTTGTATATTAAAACATTTTTGTGTTAAAAAAGAAAACTGTGTATATCAATCTTGTTGGCAAATATCATAAACTGACTATACATCGGCTTTTACTTAGCTGCTAAATCCAAAGTACAATTTAACTACTAAATTTAAAGTATCATTTAACTCAATTTCAGACCTTTCGAAATTGTAATACATAACACTATTTTATATATAAATATTTAATATTATATTTTTCATTGCAAAACATCTTGACACATAGGAGCAGTGTCATATATCATTCCCCAAAATAATTTACCTTCGTGAATACTTACTTATAACAAAGTCATACTCCGCTTGAGGAAATTCTTTGATTCCAGGAGTAGAACCAGGCCACAGAAAAAACGCTCCTAATATCACTGCTAATAAACCAACCAAACTTCCTGAAATTATTAAAGTTGTTTACGATGAGAATAAATAATTCAGTACGCTGTGTGAAAATAAATCATATATAAATGTAATTTAAACAATTAGGTAATAACGCATGTTTTAGCACAAAATACGGTTATGATTAAAATAACAGACTATCAAGTTGAAAACTTTAGCAAATATGTTAACAACTGAAAAGTTAATACCATGATTCTAAACTATGTATTGTTTTCATGGTTTCTATTATTGAGCGGGCTTGTAGAGCTTACAAACATTATAGATTATTTAAATAACAATTATTATTTGAAGGCTTAAATCTCTACTAAAAAATTATTACAAAAATATAAAATAATTAAGACTGTTAGTTATTTGTATACCCAAGCAGCAATATGATATTGTGTTATATATATATATATATATATATACTAGCAGATGGCCGCTAAAACAATTCAACGGTAAATTTCCACAAAAAATGCGTGGTCATGTTAATCACTTAGATCAGAGCGTATATGCAGTATGATTATCTAGTGGGCCGTTTACAACAGTATTTTGTCATTCATGTGTTATTTCAATAAAGAAAATCGCATTGAGTTTTTTTTTTTGAAGCAAAAGAGGTTGAATACAATGCATTGTTGGCAAAAATGTTTGAGTTTCAATCCAATAGGTGCATCCAGCACAATAGAGCGCTCAGGTTCGCTAAGTAGCCGCGGGTATTTTTTCCGCTGGATGCCAATGTACTTTGTCATTTCACTGAGTGCAAAATAATACTGCTACCAAAGCGAGCGCTTTGTAACAGTTGTTATTTCTGTAACACAGTTCAAAGGAAGATATTCAATTCAATTTAGTTTACATTGTATATTAAAATCGTGCATGTATATAATACCAACATGATAATATATATATATGTAAAACGAACAATGACAAATATATATTCAATCACGTACATTTGTTTCTGTTTATGACTCTATCTTCAAAATATTTCTTTCAATCAGTCAACGGAAGAAGTCCTGTTTTTTCGTGAAATTCCCTCACAAACATAAAAATGTGTTGCTCTTAATAAGGTTCTTTACCCTCAGATTGACCATTAAGCAAAAACCGAGGCTGATGGATCAATATGAAAATTTAGGAATTGCCAAAAATGTATAATTTTCCTGTAATGTACTCTTGAAAATAAGCATTTTACCATATAATTTTTTCTAAGATTAATCATCCAGGAGATACATAGCGTGACAAACACACATTTAGCTATTATATATGTATATATATATATGTGTGTGTTAAAACCTATCTCAACACATTAGTGTGACAAGTGTGGTACAGGTCAGCAAGAATGTGTTTTTCACCCGCTTAGGTAAAATGTAATTTTTTGTTTGAAATTATTGTTTTCAGTGTGGACGCAGAGTGTAGGTCAAGTAAGCACTTCAGTTCCCATTGTTTTGATGCATGCAATATATAAACTTATTGACTGACAATTAACTGAGTTTCTAGCAGGGAAGGTAGCATATGACGTCCAGAAATACAAAGCTGTCTTTTCTGTCAGCGATAAAAGAAGTATGTTGTAGGTCCAACCATTGAAGACAACAAGGAGTTGACTACAGATATATATATTGTTAACTTCTTGTTGTCTTCGGTGGTTTGACCTACAACATATTTCTTTTTATCTCTTTCAACAACCACTACTCGTAATTTTCTTCTCTTTCAGCGAATCGACTAATAACTAGGAACTGCCATACCGTATCACTCTATTCACAGTGGACAAGGACTTTGAGTGCAAAGTGTGTTCATATGCAAAACTCACCCCTGGGTAGGGTTATTATTGTATTGTATTTAAAACCAGTTTTGCCTTTGTAAGAGTAACATAAACCATTTCAATCAACTTTTGTTTTTATATTGGGATTACCTAAATTTGGTATAATTGGAGAGACTTGTTTAATGAAACTTGTGCTGGTATGTTCTGTAGTTTTCTTATTAACTTTGGATTTTGTTTAATTAGTGATTTGAATGTTACGTTTGCTTGAATTGTAAAATGTAATAATAATATACTTTTGAGTGTAGTGTTTGCTTAAAACAATCATAGTTTTGTTTTAACTTTATTAGCTTTAATTTTTGGATTTGTACTTAACATAAACTTTGGTGTTGCACTTTTACTTTAGTGTAGAGTTTATTGTTTAAACTCCAGGTGGATACAACGAGTTGGTAAGAGCTTTGAATAAAGGTTTAACATTACTTGTATCAGTTTGAGATCCACCACTAGCCTGTTGTTCTTGTTTTTCGTAAGTATATTGTTTTGATCTTGTAAATATATATGTTTGCCACCATGTATCTTCTGCTTCGAGTCTTTCTTCTAGTCAAGTTCAGCTAGAGATCAAGTAGTGGGTCTAACTGAATGCTATACAACAAACTGTTCCATTGAAAATACTGCAGAGGACTGTATTCTTTCTGAGAGGGGGATTAGCTGGATTTGTGAATTCTTGAATGAGTACCTTAGTCATCTGAGCAAACACGGAGATATTTTTTCCATAGAAAGACAGGTGTACAAAATGGAGGGAGACGAGTCTGGTCCTCGTACAAAACAACCTTCAAGAAGGGTAGTTGGATCTGTAAGAAATTTTCTCCTGGTTCATGTACTTTTGATGATGTTCTACAGGCCCTTCATAGCCATCATCCTGCCACCATAATTTAAAGAAGAGGAGAGAGAATTATCTGGTGCATTCAGAAAGCCGTACAAAGCTCATCTCTTGAGGTTAACCCCAGACGGTGTAAAAACCAGAATAACCAAGGATCATTGGGATAGTGTGAGACCAAATGTGTCTGAAAGCAGTGGGATGGACTTTACAAAACCCGAGGCACTTGCTGACTGGAGTTGTCCAACCCCAGTTCTGATCACGGGAGAGAGGGAAGAACTTCCATTAGTGTATGTGTTCTACCAACATGAGCTGTTTATCCAACAGTCAAAATTTGAGTGTTGGTAGAATATAGAAGATGCCATCAATAATTAGTGGAGCAGCAGGAACCCTTTATGGGAGGAAAGTTGGTTTGTCATTTAGTTGAAATTTAGAGATTTACTGTCATTAGCTGGGTAAAGCCTCCAAAATGATCTGTTCTGCCAACAGGTGTGACAGCAATTCCTGAGAGGTGTTAAGAAGAGTTTAAAGCAAACTGTATTGCTTGTTTTGCAGGAAAGTGGCTAGCCCAGACTCGGTAGTGAGACAGTGTTGGTAGTGGGTAGCAAACAACAAGAACTGCATCATTGGCAGATGAAGCAGCAGACTTTTGCTGATGAGGACTGTGATTGGTAAACCAGGTGGAGGCCTATTCAGGAAGAAAGACAAGCAGTCACCCTAAGGGCAAGGAGAGTGGTACTATTGGTAGAAGAGTTATGTCATCTCAAATTGCAGCCCCATCAGCAGTAGGCACTGAGGAGAGAGAATTTCCCAATCTATGGGACAGCAGAGACCATCACTGGGATAGTAGACAAGCTGTCAAGGTATCCACAGATCATGGAGAAACCCAGAAGGTTGAAAGAAAAGTAAACAAAGTTCATCCAATATATCGTCATTTGGCAATTCCAGAGGTCAGACTCAATGCTCGACAGACTGCATGGCTTCTGGAACCTACCTACCCAATGGCTCACCAATTATACAGGACTGTCTAGTTGTAGATGTACCATATGCTTGCAGAGCGAGATTTGGACTAAGACCACATTGCACAAGGGCTGATGCCAAGCAGTGTGTAAAGGGACAGAAGGAAGACCTGGACTGCTTCCTTTGAAGGTTCCAGGAATTAAATGCCTGGAGTTGATGGTCTCAAGAACAGGTAATGCTATGACTCATCCAGAGCCTAGATAGTACAGCCCTCGGTGCAGTCAATTATCTAACGGAGGAACAACTGGCTGACTATAACAAAGTCATTGCCAAGATGTGCCATGAACTTGGCTTCGTATAAAACCAAGCTGTCCACTGGGCTGAGTTTAAGGGCAACCTCACTGATGATATATGCGACATACCTGACAATGAGAGCGGTGAATTTGAAAATACCCTAGTTGATAAGTTCATTGAGGAAGCTCCAAATGAGACAATGAGGAATTACATGGAGATTCAAGATACTTACACCCTAATGGAGTGGTTTTTAGGTTAATGAGATTCAAAGTGGTTACCTCGGACCGACTGCAGGGGAGGAAGAATACAGCAACAAAAGAAGCCGTGGTTTAATCTCACTCAGACTATCCTGTTTAACCAAATATCCCTTGACATGGCGGAGCTCTACCACAAGTGGGCCCACAACTGATAACTGTAACACCATGGTTTAAGAAGGCTGGTTACTCACTAATGGGCAGGGCTATTCAGGCTCACCTATGATGTTTGTGCTGCTATGTGTTCAAGGTCCAGGAAAATAATATAACCTTGGAAGTAATAATATGACTTGGAAGTAAAGGGAATTAATCCACCTCTGAATGGGCTAGGTTTAGCTTGGTTTTTGCCTTTGAGAATACATAGCAGGGTCACAGAGCTACGTGGACCTTGGTGAATACTAATATGTGTTATACACTTCGAATGAAACCCCTACTCCAGCCAGTCAGCACTAACTTTGTATTAGTGAATGATGATTATGCTATCTTATGTCTACTGTTATGAAACTGTCCATTGTTTTGTAGTGGATATGAGCATAAGGATTAAAATTAAAACATAGGAAGTGAGCTCTCGTGCACGTCAATAGAGTTTCTTCGTCATATAGTGAGTAGAGAATGCATATCTAAGTACCCTGCAAAAACAACAGTAGTTTGAGAATAGCCCAACCCAGATTGAGATGAGAAGTTTGAAGATTCCTTGGGTTTATGTTATATCAATGTCACGAAGTCTGATGTGCAGTTCAGGTGGACCAAGGAGTGTTTGCAAGCATCCTAGTCCCTGAAGCATGCTTTAGTGGAAGATCCCATATTTTCTTATCTGTGGCAGGATTGTGAGTTTCTGTTGGATACAGATGACACCAATAATGGAATTGGGGGCAGTACTGT